TCCGATGAGTTACTGACCTTGGGAAATTATTGAAAGACTGGTTGAATGCTGTTTCAGTTTGTACTGTGAAAATACAAACACAAGATAAATGATCATACAGACAAACGCAAATTAGTATAATGAGAGTTATCAGTCAGAAAAATGTAACAAACAGGCAGCGAAGTGATATGTCCATAAATTCGCAAATTTTCCATTTAAAATAATCCGTCCACTCAGTCCATGGCTACGGTAGTTTGGTACCTATATGGATACCTTATTTTAATCGAAAGGAAACTGGAGGTATGTTATTTTGGGAGGTCGATGCATTTAATACAATATTTGCAGTTGTTCGTCATTGGCAGACAACGAAAGGTTATCAAAATTTAAACATTTTGCACTAACTGAGCAAGCAGACAAAGGAATTCTTATACAAAACTTAATATTTACAAATACTTGGCCTTACAAAACTTGTAACACCGAGTATATTCACTTTCGTCTGGTTACTGTGATTTAGTTGGCTTGTCAAGCGAAACGGCCGGGCTGGTATTTACTCGAGTCATGTTCAAGTTACTGCACCACAAACAATATGAACAACGACACTGTCTTCTTCAGTCAACCGTACATTTGTAGAACACTGTTATTATAGTCTCTCAAAAGTACCTATTTTCTTGGATGAAACTGGACTTCAATTATAAAGATGCGCTTTTTACAAAATTAATCTCCTAATTTAAAACATAATTTACTAAGCGCTTGGAAGATAGATGTTGAAGCAGCCGCGGTCGCGACGTGATTGAGATTTAAAAGCTTTCACTAAGTCTTTCATTTCTCCTTTAAATTGATTTCTAATACTAGACTATCCATTCATTGGTTGTAGGAAGTACTATGACAGTTTCCGAAGAAGGAAAACAAAACAGACTATTAACGAAATAATATATTTTTTTTTATGCCATAAGCCGGTAAACGTACAGACGGATCACCTGATGGTAAGCAATCGACGTCGCCCATGGACACCTGGAACACCAGAGGCGTTACAAGTGCGTTACGGGCCTTTTTTGTTTATTAGTTTATTAAATTGTGAACATTATTACATCATATTCATAGTATTAAAGGTTCTTTCTATGTAACTCGAACTGGATTTTGATCAAGGTCCTTGGAGGATGCTAATGCCACAACAGTAATTATTATAAGCATTTTTTTTCTGCTAATTCCTACAAAACAAAGTCAAAGTCTAACTTCGACTAGTTTTTTTTTTTGGAGACCAGTTGCGAAATCCAATCATTAAGTATGCACGATACGGCGAGTGGTTTAAGTGTATGATAAATCAATTAGCTTAAACTATAGAACCAATTATATATTTTACTTAGGAACCTCATCACTGGTCTATTTCCGTCTTTCAATAAGTTATAACGCTGAAAATAGTTAAAAGCTACTCAAAAAATGGAATATGGACCAAACTACTAACAATTTCAACCAATAGCAAAAGTACAACAGTTGTACAATCCGTAGTTTAGTCAGGATAAACTATAAACACAAGTAACAGTGCGTACGTCTCCCCTACACCGGCCCAGGTGTGATCAGGCGATCGCGGCAAGCGACACGTGCGCGTGTGACGAACCATGTTCTCAATTTGGGGGACTAGAGAGGGAAGCGCGAAGTCCGCGGCCTTGCGTGACCCCGCCGTGCAAACACGCAACTTTAGATTATGTGGCCTGAAGTAACAACTCGTTATCGAAAATTATGCGTATTATCATCTATAGATACATAGTTATTATAAACGTTAATTACATGTTCATATCTGTAATGCGAAAAAAATTTGCGTCCGTCCAAATAAGACTTAAGTCTTAAGAAACCAGTTATGGAATGTTACCTAATTTTAAGACTACATTTTTTTTTATAGAACGAAAAACATGCATCTATAATTTCCTCAAATGCAAAGACCAGTGTGGTATAATCTATAACCAAATAACCCAACCAATCCCTAAGTACACATTTAGGTAAACATTGAAAATCATTCTATACTGATAAGATATCTCGAATATAAAAAAGTGAAACCTTTACGACAAATCATGGTCAATATCACTCAGCACTTTGAAATATTTGCTTATTCACCGTGACGTTGATAGGCAAAACTATATTTAAATTATAACCCACTAAAGTCCATAATATTGATTATGACACTTGTTAAAATTATGATGACATAAATTCAATTCATTTTTTGCTAGTGAGTAATATATAATTAATTTGATTTACTACACCTACTTATCAAAGACTATTCGGTTAATCTATGTAAAATTATGTGTAGTACATGTTCATTTAAATAAATAATTAAACAAAGAAAATAAATTACTTGTAATACATTTATTTGAATATTGAACAGTAGGGTGGGAAAGGAAGTTTACTGCAACAGCATTTGCAGGCAGTGGAAGTATTTTGCGGAATAGCAACAAAATGACTTTCCGACTCTGCAGTTCTGCAGTGGTGGCCATAGCGCAATAGGTAAATGTTCCAAGACTATGAATACTTTTCTTATAATCATAACAATGCAATACTGGGATCAAAATGTATTTTAGAGCGTAATTATACAATATGTTGGTATGTTTTATGAACATAACTACTTTAATGAAAGACAATGCAAGACTTCAACATTATCTCGCAATGCTGGATAATGATATTATCCCAAAATTCATAATTTTTATTTAAAAGGACTTACCTAATTAAATGTGTTACTTTACTGTTTATGGTGTCTATAATGTAATATAATCCTACAGTTTTCTTTATTAGAACAACTTCATCAATATTACCCACAATTCTAAATATCTATTATCAGCTACTCCAGTATAAAAATCACCTGGTACTAATCTTATCTATTGTTTGGTCTCGATAAAATTATAAATAAATAATAACAGCAAATGCAGTCACAAGATTCTGTCATAAATATTTTAGAAGATATCTAAATTAAAACCATAACAAAACAATAATTCTTGAAGCCCATATGGAGGCGTCGTATTTAAACACGTCTTTTATTAATTTACGTGTCTCTTTCAGACGTCGACTGTTACATTATAATTACGAAAGTAATGTGTTGTAGAAACCTTCCACCTTAATTCACATACGTGGGTATTTTTATGACAAAAATAGGGCATAATATCAACATAATCTCACAACATAATTTGAAATACATATATTCAGACATCTGCTGTTTTTTTTTTCACTTCGGGTTCATTAAATCAGAGAAATTCAGAGAAGAACTCTCGCACAGAATTTTCTTTTAGGTTATATTTTTACAGTTAGCCTGTGAAATATGTAAGTCATTCATAACTAATTACTGAGGTAAAACACTTACCTAGCGTCCTCACAGGTCCACTGTGTAAAATACACTTGTAAATTATCACCAAATATTCAAATAAATTCGAGGTAAACACTAGCGGGATTCCTAACGTCCAGCAAATCCGAACTAGTCAGTGCTGTCCTTCTTTTCACAGTTTGACATTACTTCGATACAATCGATTTGAAATGATTAAAAACTGAATAAAGGATATAACAAAGTGATTTTATACGTGATGTCCAGTTCACATTTAATAAATTGTGATATAGATAATACTAAGCTGTGAATTCCGGTTTTATAAGGACTGCAATGATTTTTAAATAAATAAATGAGTCTATGTTCAATCGATTTAGAAATCGAGTTTTATATCGGTAACGGTTGGAAGCACTAAACGTGTTGAATGTGTCGTATTTTTGTTTGGGGTGGGGGATTACACATTGCGACCAATCATAGAGCTAGAATAGGCATGAAGAAGGTGGCGTGATCCCTACGTCACCATTATATACCGCCATAGAGATCTATAGTACTGTCTAGTACTGAACCGGGGCAGAAAATAATCAATAAAACTTGACAATGAAAGATATAGATGAATTTATAGTTTAATACTGTTGTAATGAGGTACTCTAATTGCAATACTAGTAAAGTGTTAATCTTACGTCTTTTTATAAACATACAAGTAGAATAATGTAGTTAATATAAATAAACTTTTCGCACTTCCAATATCGCGCATTTGCGATCCTAGTGCCATCTGTTGGTTTTATACACGACATGATCATAGAAAAGATGTTTTGTGAGATGTTAAATGGTTACTTACTATTAAATAAATTCACTTATTCGGTGTTTACGTATGCAGTTGATGATTTAATTTTATTGTTTGGTCGGCATGTACCTACCAAATTATATTAATAGGTACTTAATGAAGGAACTAAGAACATCAATCACAGTTAGCGCGCTTTTTTTTAAGTTATAAGGAAAGATACCTACCTACTGGTGTATGGTTTATTTTTTAGTGGGGAAAATCACCTAAAGACTGCTCCCGCCTGCGTAAGGCGGGGGGGAGTGTCAGACTCTTACTGACTAAAAACCACCCCGTTCCTACTCCTGCACTTCGAGCCGGAGCCGCGGAAACCCGTTAGGTTCGCCGTGGCTCCGTATTGGTTTCAGCTCTATTGGGCCCCATCCGTAGTATTCTGATGGCTTTTTGAGGCGCGCGCGGAATGCAACGCGCCGTACGCTCGTGTCTGGTTCTGGTCGGGCGTCGTCCGCAGGCCCGCGCTTACGGTGGCCGGTGATCGTTTCACGATCCCCGACGCTCGGAGTGTCCTTCGCGACGGCTGGGTTGTGAGGAGGCAGCGCTTCGCTGCCTCATGCGCCCTCCTCCTTCTTAGCTAGCATGACTGCTTCGCAAAAGGATGAGACGGGATCCCAGTCCCCCTCGCTCCGCATCATGACCCGCACTAGGGCCGGACGCGAGAGGTCGCCGTCGCCGATCCCTGAAGCCACGGCGGTGCTCAGCCCACGCAGGGCATTCCCCAACTGTGTGTTCCACCGTGTCCTCAGGGTGGTCCTCGCAGTGATGACACCCGGGCGTTTCCTCCCTTCCTATCAGACACAGGTACCTCCCGAAGCTCGCATGTCCGGTGAGGACCTGTGTCAGGCGGTAGGTGAGGACGCCGTAGCGTCTCTCAAGCCACTGAGGGATCTTACCGCTGCAATGGCAGTGAGCCCACCCCTCGGTTGCGACAGTCGTTGCTGCCAATCCGCCACAAGATCACGCCGAAGCTCTTCCCGCCACGCACTTATCTGGCACAGCAGCGGAGTTTCGCCCCTGCGATGTGTCTCCGCGCGCGAGCACCTTCGCCTCCAGATCCCATGGCGGTTATCCGGCAAGAAGGTTCGCCGCCTACCTGGAGATCGTGCGGTGCGGACGTGAGTAGCGCCCGAGCGGGCCGCCGCATAAGGTTCGGCGCCCACACAGGGACGCCGTAGAGGGCCATGGACCGCACGACCCCGGCGTATAACCGCCGGGGACTATATTTAGTTACAATTGGTGGTGATGAAACCCTTGTGGGTCGATCTTGTGATTAAACCCCTGTTTTCATTTTTGACGGATGTAGATGATTTTAGTAGATGGTATTCCTAATAGAGTTGGAGAGTTGGGATCATAGAGTTTGGGATACTACAATACTATCACAATCCATAATTTTGTCATTCCTATTGTCATTTTTGATGATAAAAACTGTTGCAATAAATTGTACCTAAAATGTTCAAGAATTACAAAGATCTGTGTGATGTGGTATCCCTTCTTGTGTATTGTCCCAGCGAGCGATGTTATTTGTTCACAAAGGAGGCGAGTGGTGAAACATGGCTGCCATCCAGCAAATGCGAGAAGAATTGCTGGAAGATGACCGCTCATAAGATTAATTTTGAGGTACCCATTTACCTCATATCGTCGGCCACTTTGGCCCTATTAGATTGATCCCTCATTCTCCAGTGTGGTTAATAATCCTACAGTAGAAACTTTTGCCGTAGTTGTTCGGCATAGACGCTGGTACCAACTGCCATCCTCTGCGGGTATACAAGATCTGGCTGCCGAACCATTCACTTAACTGCGTGTATCATGCGGTCTACAAAGTGGCCATCAAAGCCGACGTGAAAAAGCGGCTCAAATATAAGGCTGTAAGTATCAGATATTCAGGATTTTTTCAAGACTATGTAGGCAGGTTGAAAGGGTAAAAAGGTTTAATCTAAACCTAAATGAATTTTCAGCTGTTTGTAGATATTTAGCAATCTGTCTCGTTGGTTTATATGTATAGAAGGTACGGCAAGTCCACAACGGCTAATAATTAAGTAGTCTGGCGAAAATTAATGCATGTTGAAGTTTTTTGAACCTAGGTGGTATTCTGGTGATATTAGACTGTTAGATAAGTAGATTAGCCAAGTACATAATTTGACAAGTACCTTAAATCCAGGGTATGAGGAATCGGCTGCAGTGGCTCAACATGTCAGAGCTGGAGCGGCAGAAGGCTCACTCCAACCTTCGTAGTCCAGAAGTCATTGCCTTCGTTCTCATGACAAATGGCGAGCTGAAAGATTCTGATAAAGATTCGGTACAAAATAAATACTTTTCTAGTTAGGATAGTGTAGGTAGATATTTATTGCAGCAAGTTGTTAGGGGTCGCGGTCCCGGGTTATAATCAATTTTCGAAATTCTTTTGAAATTGCAAGTACCCGTTGGCTGGGGTTACTACATTGGATTCGTAATGTCGCAATACATCAGCCAAAAGAGGGTGCTACGCACCCACATTTTTATCCGATTGTTGGGAGAGTAGGTATTGTTTTTGGGATTTGCTTTTCGTTTACAAATTACAATCTGATAATTTACATACTGTTATAGGAGGTAGAATCTGGCTCGTTGATCGAAATCTGTGAGGAGAATATAGTGATTGGACAAGACGTTGCTGGTGGGGCAGTGGCCATGGCCTCCCCTAACCTGCAGCTGCTACAAACTGCCGGCTACACGCGAGAAGGTCAATGATTACCTATATTGTTCCTATTGCAACACAGAATCCACATTGTTGACCGTTCTAGTTACTGCACAACGTGGCGCGGTACGGGTTCAATCCCCTACGCAAGAAACTTTTGTGTGATTCACAAAGTTACTCTGCTTATGTGTGTCGCGTCATAAAAAAAAACGACCCTATGTATCCAGGTAGGTACAAGAACGTACCTACTCAGAGATTCGGAAAGGTACATGGAACAAAAAAACTGGTCATCTGATTTCAGATAGACAGTAACTAAAAGTTATTTATTCTTACATGTTTTTTTTTCTTTTCAAATCACTATGAATAATGTTGACTTGTTTCCAAATTCTTAATATCTACTCTATAATTTACTCGTTATAGATCAAATTAGAATTTACCGAGAGTTCGTGCTCATGGTCTACCCAGCTATTTACATGAGCGTTAACATCTTCAGTCAGTTTATGGTAGATCTTGGTTGGCAGAGGACTCAGTGCCAAAATCTGTTCAGGTACTTTGTTTTAGTAATTCTATTAATATTACCTAGAATGCTAATTAGTCTATTTACCTGATCTCTAGTCCTGTCCACATTTATACCTAGGTAGGTAGCATCGATGCGAAAGTCACTGCTGTGTCTACGTCAGATTTACATTCAAATGTTCATGACATTATTTAATCCTGTAATTACGTGTAAGCAATAGCTAACTCCCCATTTTGCCTCTTACAATTTTCAATATTACTAGAGCGGCAGATGTAACTGGACGTGGAGGACTATCATTTCTAGAGCTGATGCTGTGGGCAGCTGCGCTGGAACCAGCCACTCAGCACACAGGCATACCAGCTGAAATAAGGTGCAGATACATATTCAGGTAACGTGGCGAGGCGTTTAGCGTTATTTATTGCTATTAAGGAGGTACATGTAAAAATGTATGCTCTTCTTCCTTGCTCTGATCACGTCGTCCAATCAGGTACTTTGATAGTAACCGCGACCTGAAGCTGGAATATGTAGAGTTCAAGGAGCTGGTGGCAGCTGCCCGCGCCGCGCGACAACTACCCATCGATGCCCTTAGTGTGGCGAGAGATGCTGATGTCTGTCTAAGGTTTGTTCGAAATTGAAGCACGTCACCTTTGTAAAACCGTTAAAATTCATTGATTGGGTAGGTACCTATATTTTATAATCGCCAGACAACTAGGAATGCAGCCAAACTCCCAGCTGCCTCTAGCTGAGTTTCTTCGAGGAGTTGGTGAGCTCCGCCTGAGAGGAACAAGCTCCCTATTGCGGGCACCCAGGAGTATCTCCGCTTACATTGTGGATTTGCAGTTAGTAAATAGATTCTATGCTACTCTAGATAGACATGAGTCATAGGTAGGTATGTCTATTTAACTAAAACGGTCATATCATATTATCATACCCTGGTATGATATGGTATACTTACCTACTGGTAGGTAATTATCTTTGTTAAATTAGATTCAGGTTACTTTTGTTAAATCCAATAACACGGCATAGATAGCAGAGCTAAACACTCAATATCAGTGTGTAACATTTCAGAGTACGTGAACAAGAAACGTCACAACCTTCAACCTCGACTACAATGAAAATTCAAGCTGGAGCAGGTAACAAAGTTGAGAGTGGACCTGTTCCTCGACCCTCATACGGTAGTATCTGATGGTAGGTATGCGTGTCGTGTGCAGCTGCGCTGGCCCACCAAGCCCCGGGCTCGGCCGGGGCTGCGGCCGGCCGCCGCGCCGTGCGCCCCGACTACAGCGTGGCAGTCTACACCGTGCGCATGCGACGCCGCCCGCCCAACGAACTGCTCGAACTCAATAACTTTGACGGCAAGTCACGTAATGGTCATAATCGTCATCACTACATCATGCACATCTCTATTTAAGAAGCTAGTTTGTTTTTTTTTATGGCATACGAAGCAAACGAGTAAGTGTACCGCCTGATAATAAGTGATTAAGGCCACGAATCAAAAACACCCGAAACAGAGGAGTTCCATCTACGTTAATGGCTTTTTCAAACAATGTAGGCACGCTCTTTCCTTAAAAGTTTCAAGTTAGTGTCGTAAATTTAATAATGTAGCGATTTTGTAGGTAGCAATATTAACATATCAAGTTTAAGCATGCGGTGGTGTAAGTTGTAAAACGCACATTTCCTCCTGGAACACAGAGGACGCAGTCAGCCCGTCGACCGCTCACCTGATGGTGAACGCGGTGCACTCGTTCGACGTGCTCGGGCCCAGCTGTGCGCCTGTAGAGGCTCTGGCCGCTGTACACTACTTCGCTACTAATGTTGAAAGGCCACATGTTAGTTTAATTAACAATATACAGTAACAGTACCTAAGTACTAGATGAGTGAAAGTTATGAGTGTAATGAAGGTACAAAAGTTACCTGTAGTACCTATGTACTACTAAAGTAATAAAACCAGTGTAAGGTAGACGTGAAGCATTTTCCAGCAGCGGCGGCCATCAGGCGGCAGTACTGTGAACATGGTGAAGCCGGCGTGGACCTGGACCACGCCGGCAGAGGAGGCTGCGCTTGGCTCCCTCCTGCTGCGTCTGGCTGAAGCTGTTAAACCTATCTGTGCTAACGAGCCCAGAGTACTACGTCTGTCCTCGCCTGTCTATGCCGTCGGTGACTTTTTGTTTTATTATCTTATTTACCTATACATATAATAGTATAACAATGCCGGAATATCAACCGTCACTGTCCATGTGCATCTGCAACACAAGTTTTTTTTTTTTTTTTTTAAGGGGGGAAAATCATCGAATGACTGCTCCCGCCTGGGTGAGGCGGGAGGGAGTGTCAGACTCTTACTGACTAAAAACCACCCCGTTCCTTCTCCTGCACGTCGAGCCGGAGCCCCGGTTACCCGTTAGGTTCTCCGCGACTCCGAATCGGCATCGGCCCTATTGGGCCCCATCTATCACAAAAGGAGTTAGATGTGCCTTTAAGGGATTGAGGATTAGAGAGGAGGGGAGAGGAGGGTGAGGACTAAAGCATAGTAGGTACCCAAAACTGACTGCTTGCGATGCAGGTGATCTACACGGAAATTTAAGCGCGTTACTGACAATGGAGGCGGCGCTATGGCCGTCAGGCCCTGCACTAGCAGCCGCGCGCATACTATTCCTCGGGGACTACGTCGACCGTGGCTCACACGGCACTGAACTCATGGCATACCTACTGGCGGCCAAGCTGCAGCGACCTGACGCCGTGCTCATGGTGCGAGGGAACCACGAAACACGAGATATACAGAAGATGTTCACCTTCTACAAGTAGGTTCTTTGTTACTTATATTTTTTTTGTTATCTACCGCCGTCCCAAGCTATACTGAATAACTTATACATTGTTGCAGTGAGTGCTTGGCCAAGTATGGTGAAAATGAAGGTCTGAAAATATGGAATGCTGTAAACAATGTATTTGACGTGCTCCCGCTGGCAGCTGTTATTGACGACAAAGTAATTAATTCAGATCATTAAGATTAAATTAACAATAGCTAAGGCAGCTCTAAATATGCTGCATATATCTTGGCAGGTGTTTTGCTGTCATGGAGGAATTCCTCCGCCTTGGGTGTGTCCTCTCATATCAGCAATCGACAAGGTGCCCGTGCCTCTAACGAAACCTGCTGAACAGAGCTCTATTGCTTGGGAGCTATTGTGGAACGATCCCATTAAGTGAGTAAGCAACTATAATATCACAGGAATTTACAATTTGCACTAAAGTTCCTTGGTTTCATTGAAGTAAATGTTTGATGATTTTGTCCAGGCCAAATAAAATAACAGCGACTCTGCAGCTAGAGTTGTCCTCGAATGAAGGGTTTGCCGCCAACACCAAGCGTGGTACAGGGCATGTGTTTGACCAGAACGCGCTGGATCGGTTCCTGTTGGCCAACCAGCTCTCACATGTCGTGCGAGCACATGAACTGCATCAGAATGGGTTTATGGTAACTCTTCAAAGTACTGTCATTTATCTAATGGTCTTCTGCAATCTGATTCTAAACCCAAGTTACTTTGCACATGTCTTCTTTTCAATTTTCCAAGTTCTTTCTATCACTACTTCTTTGTATCTTTCATCACATAACCTGGCCATCTTCACGCTTTGGTCTATCTTTTGTTTCCCATCCATTCAGATATAAATTCGGGCTTTAGACTTTAGTGCCAACCTTTTCCATTCCAACTGGACCTCATTTTTCTCTAGTGTCAGCTTCGCGGTCGCCTGGTGTCAGTGTTCTCATCATTCCACTACTGTGGTGGTACCAACGACTCTGGCGTGGCATTGCTCGAAGGCGGGAAACTGAGGCTCATGCGAGTCAATACTGACTGAACACCAGGGACCTACATCACACGAGTAAGTTTACATCCAATTTGCTGAGAGACAAAATTGTGCCAGTACCTATAGTTACGTCCACTTTGTAAAAAACAATTAAAATGCGAAATGATTTCAATTTTCTTTTATTTATTATTCCATCACTTAGAAAACTTCGGAGAGCCTTTTGCAGGCGAAACAAAATGTCTAATTTATAATTATTATGAATTAAGTTAGTGTAACTTAACTATATTTTTATAATACAGACAGATACTTAACGCTAAGACTAAATTGTTACTATGACAAACAGACAAACATGCCTCCAATCATACTTCATAAATTATTTGGGACTTAGAAAATAGTAAAAGAACGAGTTCTCCTAGGAAGATAAGTAAACAGGAATGAAAAATGTGTCACATAGTATAACTATTTCATAAAGCTGTGGCGTCATATCTCTAGGATGACGTCATCCGTATGACAATTAGACATTGCAGTAGACCCCATCTCCGTAGATGGGGTCTACTGCAATGTCTAATTATTTGTACAAATATAATCGCAGACATTTAAGAGCATCGATCTTTTACAAAATACATTTAAATTAAAAATTCCGTCCAAAGTTAGCAAAACATGCATCATACCATACACTATCTATCTTACTTATATCTACAACTCCACATAATGTGCATGCACTCATCAAGTCATCACATACATTAATATACTTTTTTTATCACAAAGCTATTAACAAGATTACCCTTAGTGTCTGTCTGTTTGTCACGGGAACTTGTAAATTAACATAAGGACCGACAAGTACATTGTAGTCTCGTGACCGGTGACAGTACTCAGTATAACTATCTTTTAGGTACTGTTGTAAGGATAATAATAAAACCGAGTTCAATATATTAAATGCTTTAAATTGAAGCCTGTACGATTCTGCATAACTAATCCTGATCCTATTTTCAGCAGTACCCAAAATAAGTTCATGTTTATGTTGAAGAAACTTGCAAAGATGATCTTACTAAGTCAGCTTGATTTATATTTCTGATTCTTATACTTACAAGGGAATGGAAGATATTTTTATGTACATAAAGAGTTACTTTACTTAGTTTTTCGAATCTTTATAAGGTCCGCAAAAGTATTGTAAAGATATCAACACCGCCCATACATTGACATGAAGACTTGGTCAAAAACATTGCATTTATAATGGGTTATCTGGACAACTAAAGGTCATCGCAACACCTAACGAGCATGGCTCTGGCTCGGCTCCAACCCAGCAATTAAGTTGTCATTTAAATAGGAACTTTAAATGGTATGTCGTATGATATTTTCATAACGTCAATTCAAAAAGCCGATGACGTGTGGTCAGCGCCCGGTCTTCTCGAGTTGTAGTTGAGGCGCCGCGTGCTTACTGCGCGCCGCCAGCGAGCCGCCCGCCAGTCGCATGCGAAACAACGTCGCATCGTATTCTTAAAATTGTAACCCCCTGACGTATGTCCTAGGCGTGATGACAAAAAGCTTCCACGTTGCGGCCGGCGCGCTTACAACTCGCGCGCGCCGCGCCGCAAGTGCGCTGGCATCTAGCGGTGAATTCGAAACGTCGGGCCGGAGCCATGCTCGTTACATGTGCAACCTTATGGAATTTCAAAATCAACACATGTTAACCACAAAACCTTGAAGATCCTACTGATGAAATTATACAAATAAATTCAGATTTTAAATATAACCAGCATTTAACTTACTTAATATATTATAAACAATCATCTCAGACTTAAAACCGACAATATGTCCATTTGTTTTAGTTAAAATTTATTTTTGTTAGTGATTTATTTATTTTACATATATTTTCTAATAATCTTTCTATACTTGCTTAGGTATAATTAAAATTACATTAATTTAAATTGGCGATGTCTAATCGGAAATATCGTTAACGTGTATTCTCTAACTTATTACAGACAATAACTCTCTCAACTCTTCATTGTTAATGAGTTATGGTTAATGACAATGACCCCATTACATATAATGTCCACCCACGTAAATATGCATAAATGTTTTTTATTTACATTTGTTCAACATTCCTTAATATTCATTGTGGATCATCAAAATTGAATAAAACTATTTACAAATCGATAAAGTTTTAGATTATTTTGCCACAACACTTAAGAAAATTCGCAAGATAGAATACAATAGCAAAAATATCATAAACAAAATGAATTATATACAGCGCAGTGACAATGGTTTCTTCTAGAGATCACCATAAATTCAACTTATTAGAACACTTTTCACGAGGAAACACCATTCAGGCACTGACAAGTACAGTACAGTACGTAAAACATAAGATGCACTCAACTTCGCAAATAAAATAAATAGATCACTAACATGGAGACACACCATTGACTGTTCTAGAGCAGTAGTTTCCCGGTGAGTATCTCAAGCGCGGCCTTACGGCGCAGGTACGGCATGTGTGCCTGCGTGAAGGTGTAGGCCGCGTTACGGGACGAGAACTCCGCAAACGTGCACGCGAACATGCCGCAATCACTGCCGTTCATCTGCTGTGGAATGTCCTGTGAAAAAATAAGTTAATTTTTTTGGAGTCAAATCCACATACTATCATCGTAAATGCTACTATACTTAAAATTATTGAAGACAGCACATAACTTGCTGAAATATTACGAAATATTTCACGTTATCTTGACCTAACTTAAAAAGAGCAAAAGAAAGGAATTTTTGATTTACCTTGAGGCATTCAGTCTTCCAGCCACTGTCATTGAACGGCGCCCCCTTCTTGTCTTGATGTTCGTCTCTGAGATACTGTAACAGTGCGTCCAGACAGGCCTGGTTGCGGCCCCCCATACTGTCAAGGTAGTTGATTTTCTTTGCGCGGAAGTCCACGATACTGAGGCACCAATGCACGCCCAAGTGCACGGGAACCACCAGGAGGTCGTGCGCAAATATATCCACCTAAAACATTTTAATTTAGGAATTACTTACAATAATTTATTAAGGTAAGGTATAACAAACAAAGGGTTTAACTTGTCGAGTACCGTCATTATAGACACAATTATAGAACAATAGGTTGCAGTCACCGGTGACCGCTTGGTGTTTGACAGTTAAATAATAAAAGGGCTGCTTACCTTTCTCGTCCACCTCCTAAGACCTGCCTGTCCACTCTGCATGAGCTTAGGATAGAAGAATGTGTTAGTGGCATACACCTTCGGCAAGTCTTTCCGTTCCTCACTCCTCTGCATCAGCAGGTTCATATAGAAGTTTATTATTTCATCATTCAGCCAGTTAAGGCCCGATAGAGTTTGCAGGTCCCGCCTGAAAGGGTTGTGATTAATTAATTTATAAATAAATGTAAAATAATTCTTATGCTATTATATAAAGTGGAAGAGATTGTTTGAACCTTCTAATCTCAGTAACTATAGTTGGATAGCGCATTTATCGAGGATGGCTATAGGCTATAGAACATCACACTATGACCAATAGGAGCTGAGCTGAGCGTGTGAAACCACGCGGAAGTAGCTAGTGCAGAATAACCTTTACTTATTTCGATTTTCTTAGCTAAATATAAAACAAGAATGATATGAAAATTTACCTGTGTATCCTCAAGTTGAATTTCTCTACAAGCATCTGTCCAGGAGGTCCTGGTCCCAGTGCTCTGTTCACTAATTTCTCTTGTTCTGGAGTCAGAGCCGGTAGCTCTACAGTGGGCTGTGGCTCCTCAAACAGACTCTCTGGTATACTCAGCTCATATTTCAGTTTATGCTCCAGGTGAGCAATACTTTGTTCACTATTTACTTTTGATATGATATCAGACTCACGCGTTGCATCTTTTAGCTTTGCCTGTGTCTCTTGTCTCTTTTTCTTATATTTTGATTCTAATTTTAAAAGCCAATCTCCTCCAGTAATGGCCTTGTCTCTATACGAGTCTTTTAATGTGTTGATAGGATCAATCCTCTGAGAAGATGTAGTAGATGATTCTGATGGAACTACTTCTACTTCTGAATCGGATGAGTTTATGGATGCCACTGTGATGGGATCATATTCTTTTGATGCATCATTGTCTCTTTCAGCAGCTAATCCTTTTTCTACTAATTTAATTTCATTTAGAGCATTTCTTTGTGTTTTCTGTGTTAGCCTGAAGGAAGCAGCATCGTCAGCTAGATTTACTATATCAATTGGTTTCCCTGTCGCCATTGGTTTCATGGAAGCTGCAACTCGCCGAATAAGTTCTTGATAATTTTTCTTTTCATTTAAATTGAATACTTCTGAAATTGTTGACCTAGAGTTGCCATTGAGACCTAAAAATCTATTTCTAGAAAACGATGAGAGATTCGATGTGGTTGGTTTTGATGGTTGCATCCACCTTGGTAGGGGAGTTGGAGCCTTTTTATAAGACTTTGTGATGCCAGGAGGGGCTTTGAATTTTGTAAATGTTTTGGGTGACATATTCATCAAGCTCCGTTCTGTTGGCTTCCGACTTAACTTATAAAAGACTGGCTCCTCTACAGTTCCATCAGTAGTATCATGGCTATTTTTACTGAGGAAGTATTGGTATGGTCTAGATGGGGGCGGAGTTGAAACTTTCTTAATAAAGATAACATCATCTTCTTGCTGATTATTGTCATGATGATCATCCTCTTCATCTAAGTCAATATATACTTTTGTAGGCTTTTTGGGTGGGTTCTCTGCTTTTGGTTCTACCCAAGTCACCTAAAATTCAAAGAAATGATAAGTAAATCAAATCATTAAAACATTAAATAGTCAAGGAAAAAATAATATTTCCTCCGTAAATAATAATATTAAGTACTTACATCTGTATCATCATTTTCATCATCTATTAATGCATGTATAACAGGCCTCACAGGTGTATGTTTCCTAGGTTTTCTTGACGGTGTGGCTGGTCCATTCTCTGACAAACCCATCAATTGGATAGGCACAGTCCTCACTCTGCTCTTATTGAGTGACTCGTTGGGTGTTGATGTACTAGCGTGACCTTCTATCTGTATTGGTATATATCTAACATTTTTATTTTGGTTTTCCTGCTTCTCCCAGTCTTCTGTAAAAAATAATATTTGAACTAATTTGTAGGTGAGAATTGTTTTCATAATACATATACATATCTAGTTACACTATAATCCACATTTTGTTTGTGCAACAAAACGAAGTTTGTATGTGTTTGTGCGAAATACCTATTAGGTTAGTCTTCTATTTACCAAACACGTCTTTAACAGTAACAAGTGAAAATAATTACCATTCGAGGCCATGATGTCGGGGAAATTAGTTCTCTTCAGTTGCTTGAGTCTCTTGAGGGCCGGTAAATCATCGTCGGACGACAATTCATCGTCGGCCCTGTAAACCAACAAAACGTGTTAACTTTTGAGTCGCTTTGTTATTCGTGTATTCAAAAACGTAATGACCCACTTCCAAAACTTAGATGCTACTTTTAGTGGTACTCTAAACATTTTGTGGTATTTCTTCACAGTATTGAGAATTATTTTACATCGACTTTGCCGCCATAACGAATGTTGTAAACATGTAATGTCATGTCATACCTGTCTCGTTTGAAGCTTGTTCTTATCGGTGGAGTTTCATCACACCAACCCAGAAGATTACGAACATAAGCCACTACGGACTTCATTTTCAATGAATTATGTTTCCATCACCTATTTTCGTCGCCTTTCTAACTAAAATGCCAAAAAACGCTACACAACCTCAATACAAGACAACTGTGCAACACCATAGACAAAAACTTTTTCTATTACTACAACAATAGGGTAACCCACCAGTTGCAAATAGTATGTTGTTTGTGGTAATTTTAGTCGATTGTCAATCGACTTTGTCATTTTGTCTCATGAGTCATGACATTTAAAAGTTTATGAAATAATTTCGTTAAGTTTCAAGTTTTGGATAAATAAAATAAATACTCAATAAAAACTCTTTTTCCCATGATTTGGTGCACTCATCTGAGCTGTCTACATGTTCATAATGTTTATTTTCTATAATTTTTCATACATTACGATTTGATTAAAAAAAATCAGTACCCAGAATAAAAATGCAAATACCGGTCTACCACTGCTTATATCACTAAACAAGAACGTTCAACGTCCTAGCTGCTAAACAAAAAACTGTGCACTATTGATGGATAGAAATAGGACACTGGACAAAATACAAAGGATAGTATTTAACCCATTGACTTGACATCTCTGAACTCTGAAGTAGTGACTATGACTTTGACAGCTACACTTCAATCAAAACAAAACTTTTTGGTTTGCCGAGAAAACGTGTCTTTATTTACCTTAATGTATTCTAATAAATCACTCATCAAACCTAAGTTTTTAATAAATCACTCATTTGTCTGACTACAATAAAAATCTCCTATAAGTAAACGTGTTTAATAAATAAAAATGTTGCAGCCAATAATGCATATTTTGAAGCAAAAAAATATCATATTAGCGAGCGGTTCCCCTAGACGAAAAGAACTTGTCGAAAATATTGTACGTAATGAAGAGGCAAAGAAATAGTATATTGAATAATATAATGTTCATAATTTTTTTTTTTTTTTTTTCTTGGCATAAGCCGGTAAACGAGCAGACGGATCACCTGATGGAAAGCAATCGGCGTCGCCCATGGACACCTGGAACACCAGAGGCGTTACAAGTGCGTTACCGGCTATTTGTGGATTAGGAGTTTGAGGATTGTTGGGGATTCAGGGATTGGGGAGATTGGGGAAGGGGAGGGAAATTGGGCCTCCGGTAACCTCACTCACGCGACGAAACACAATGCAAGCGTTGCTTCACGTCGGTTTTCTGTGAGGCCGTGGTATCACTCCGGTCGAGCCGGCCCATTCGTGCCGAAGCATGGCTCTCCCACACTTAGTTGAAACATGTTTCCTAGCATTTCAGCTGATCATCATTAAAAAGCATACAAATTGTAACCATTACATTACTTTCCAGGGTCTCAAAGTTGGCTTATGCCCATCGTTATTTGAAGAGAACCTTGATCCAAATGCATTTAAAAGTTTTGGGGAATTTGTTGAAGAAACAGCATTACAGAAAGTTTTAGAAGTTGAGACCAGATTAACAGCGGAGGGACACGAACCAGATGTGGTTATAGGGGCTGATACTATGGTCACTTTGGGGGCAGAGATGTTTGGTAAACCTACTTCAGAGACTGAAGCATTTGAGATGTTATCTCGGTAATAAAAAAAAATTCTTTAAATCTTCGGATAAAACAATGAACCTGTACAAGTAGAAAATGGGTGATTTGAATGTTTTTTTTTATTTTCAGTCTATCAGGCAGAGGCCATACTGTGTATACAGGCGTTGTTATTAAAGCCTCAGATAAAATTGTAAAGTTCACTGAGAAAACTGATGTTTTCTTTGGCAAACTGGATGAGCAGCAAATCAGAGGTTATATAGCTACTGGTGAACCTATGTAAGTTTTATACATGGTATATTTAACTCGTCGAGTACCGGTTTTGTAGACACAATTATAGAACAATAGGTTGGGGTCACCGGTGACCGCTTGGTGTTTGACAGTTTAATCTTATTAAATATTTGAGACCTTTGCAAACTCCCAATAAGGAAAACACATGAAAGTTTTATTGAACTTATGTTTGATTTTGCCAACTGAAAACTATTGAATGCAAATTCTCTTTGGTTGGCCATTAGTGACTGATGCAGCCTTTAACATGTTAGTGATTATTAGTAGTCACTTAATCTATGGTTATTCTTCTAGGGATAAGGCAGGGGGCTATGGCATCCAAGGAGTTGGAGGCACATTTGTGGAGCGGGTGGAAGGTGATTACTTCACTGTGGTCGGTCTACCACTTTACAGGCTCTGCTCAGTACTTTATGACATGTTTAAACATCAACTATGATGTTAAATTGTAAATATTAGTTGAATTTATTAGTCAGGAGTTTAGTTGTAGACAATTATCAATTCTATACCTGTTTGTTTTGTAAATGTGTTTTACTCCATGTAATGTAGCATATAGTACAATAAGTAAAGTGATACTATATTGTAAGTTACAATGGGACAGAAATAAAAAACCAAAGAGCTTGTAATGTTTTAAACTAAATACTTGTTTATTGGACAAATACTTTCATATGAGTATTTCTTATAAAGTATGTTTTTAGCTTTTTGGTATAATGTTGATAATTTACAAATCAGATTACATTATGAAAGATTATTCCTTATGTAATGTTATTATTTATGTAAGTACAAACCAGTTATAGTTCACTAATAAATGTTTGTTATATAATTTTTTTTTATTAAAAAAGGGTATGTTCCCACGCCAGGAAGGTCTCCAATGTCGTGACTTTATTATAAATGTATAAAATATCAATATCACATTATATAATATACATCTAGATTTAATGTGTGCGGGAATCGACACCGCAACACCTTAAGCAGTAGCCGGTGGCCTTGCCACTGCCACTGTACCTGCCATGTCGTTTCTATACATTAGCATAAATAGTAATAAATGGAAATCTAATGTGACTATGTGACAATATGTTATCACAACACTTCTTAATATCTAACATACTAACGATGAACCTAATGTGTAAGCCTGATAAGATAAAGAACAGTTTAATAAATAAATAAATTATATCACTTACCCATTATTGGGTACCTATTTAATAACTTACAAATTTACACTATATAGGCACATGATCAGATTCATTGGCCATTTCGAATAATAGTAAAGTAATTAGGTACATCTAAATTACATTTTGTAGTAGGTTTAATCATCTATTTGTGAAAATGACTACCATGACTAGAGCAGTAGTTTCCCGGTGAGTATCTCAAGCGCGGCCTTTCGACGCAGGTACGGCATGTGCGCTTGCGTGAACGTGTAGACCGCGTTACGGGACGAGAACTCCGCAAACGTGCACACGAAAATGCCGCAATCACTGCTATTCATTTGTTCTGGAATGTCCTGAAAAAACAAAATATATCAATTAGGTATAGGCAATATTTACCTGGTGGATAGTTGGCGTTACATTTTTAGTCAGATATGGAGTAGCTAGAACTGACTGCTGATGCTTGTAATAATTCCAACTGTAAACTCACTTTGAGGCACTCTGTCTCCCAGCCACTATCATCAAAAGGCACCCCTTTCTTATCTTGATGTTCATCCTTCAGATACTGCAACAGCGCAATCAAACAGGGCCGCTTGCTTTTCCCACGGCTGTCGAGGTACTCAATTTTCCGTGTTTGGAAGTTTATGAAGCTGACACACCAGTGGTTCGTCAAATGTACTGGAATCACGAGGAGGTCGTACGCAAATATATCCACCTATAAAATAAAGTCGGTTTTTCGTATAAAATATAATAATACATATCAAGTAGAATACTTTATATTTACTGATTAATTTTAGTACCTTTCTTGTCCACCTCTTAAGTCCAGCATGTCCACTCTTCATGAGCTTAGGATAGAACAATGTGTTCATAGCATACACCTTTGGCAAGTTATTCTGTTCCTCGCTCCGCTGCATTATGAGGTTCATATAGAAATCAATTACTTTATCATTCAACCAGTTATGTTCTGAAAGAGTTTCCAAATCTTCCCTAAAATAAAAAGAAAAGCATTTACATTACTTTACAATGTATGTTTTATTAAGTAAAATTAATATGAAACAATACCTACTTGTATATCTTCAATTTGAATTTCTCTATAAGTACTTTGTCTGGTGGTGTTGAGTCAAGAGCTGTGTCAATTAATTCGTTTTGTTCTGTAGTTATATCTGGTAGGTCTAAAGTTTCCTGATCTTCATCATTTTTCTTTGTTTCAGTCAGGTCATTCTTCAACTTTGAACTAGTTAATTTTTCTATAGAATTTTGTAATGTTCTTAGGTCTGTCTCTAATCTATTCATACGTAAATTAGTTAAGATAAGGTCAGGATCAGATGAATACACCTCATTTTGTGGTGCTGTGAGATGTTTTTCTACTGATTCTTGTAGAGTGTCTTTGTCCTCACAGTCTAATGTAATTTGATTTTTTGAACAGCTTGGTTGGTCCAAGCTAAATTGATTTTGTTTATTATTCACTCGCAATACAATATTTTCATTAGAAGTAATTACTTGAGACTCTTCAGTTTTATGGTTCGTCAACCAATCTTGGCATGGTTGTTTTTGTGATTGTAATATATTTTCTTCATTTTTCTTGTTCAATGTTTTGCTAACTGTGCTTTCTAGAATTTGAAAATTAAATGTATATTTTGATTTTCTCTTGGATACCCATTCATCAAATGTTTCCATCTTCAAAGATTCAGCCACATTTTGTTTAATATAGTCTGTATTCAACTTGTCCGGTGTTTTACGAGAAATGTCATCTACTTCAAAGTTTGTATAAGTAGTTTTTGATTTGTTTAGAGGTTTTGAATTATTTTCAATTCTTAGATCTGGATCGATTGATTTGTTATTAGATGTTAAGTCTGTTTTATTATAATTGGTATCAGATTCTGACTGCCGATCTTCATTAGTACTGGATCTATAGCTGGGAGTTTCATTGTCTGCACACACTTTTGGTACAGAAGCATACTTCTGAAGTATATCATTGATAGATTTTCGCGATTTTTCCATATAGGCTTTGTGTTTAGCATTCAAATTCTTCAGCCATTCGTCAAAACTCTCTGACTCAGTTTGTACAGGCTGATTATCATTTTCTTCTAGATTTATTGATGAGTCATTAATCATCTCTGTATCACTTAAATTTTCTATATTCTTAACTTTTGTAAAATATGAATCAATTTCATCATCTGATATAATTTCATATGTTTCATTTAATTTCTTCGAGGGTTTTATAACCTGAAATATTATGTGAAAATAGTAGTCAAAAATACATGTTGATAATGCCCATGTATTTAAATAATACTATGATAAAGTTATGTATGACAACAAGCAAATAATATGTTGGGGAAGATGAATGAAGAGTTACTTGTCATATGTTGTGATGGCACCCTGATTGGTCTTCTCCAATAAACCAATTAACAGAGGGCTAAATACGGTAACATTTTAACTTTGTTTAACATAAAACTAATTGGTACTAAGGGCTTTGATCAGTAAAAGGTTGGAACTTACATCTGCTGGTGTAATACTTATATTTACGTCAATACTTCCGCTACAGCCTGCCATGTCCTCATCAGCCACAGGTTGCACTGTTGTAGAGGTTCTTGTAACAGACAATTCTTTATTTTCTGACAATACTTGAAGAACTTTCGAGGCTTTCATGGTAGAACTTTTTATTGATTTCCTCTTTTCCTTGTTTAGTAAGTTTAGTTTAATTCTTTTGGATCCTAAAGTCCACTTGGATCTTAGAGCCGGTACTTCTTCATCTGATGAGAAATCATCATAAACCCTGAAAAAGGATAGATAAGTTTTTGGATTGTAATTGCGAACCTATTCGTTTTCTTTTCAAGAGCATTTCATGAAACTATCTAAACCTGTTGCATTTAAAACGTTTTCTAACTGGTTCTGTATCATCTGATAATCCCATTAGATTGCAGACAAATCCCTTAATATTTCCAAGGGATTTCATTATTTAGATACTACGCAATTATTACTTCAGTAACATATTCTTGCAGGGAATAAACAAAACACATTTATCAACAAGTTGATCTAGCAAAACATTTAATTTTAATAATAAAGTCAACCATCTTCACATTTCACATATTATTAGGGTTGCCACCCGTACTTTATAATAAAGTATTGTACGTTATTTAAGGTAATTGTACTTTATACTTTATAAGGATAATAAAGTACACGAAAATACTTTATTTTTGCAAACTTCATTTCTATTAAAGTCGTAAGTATTTTTCGGTAAACTTATCGATTCGATATAAATTTAATGATTTATGTTGAATCGATTTCGCCACTCGCCAGCGCCACTTACACAATTTCTAGTAAACATGCAATTGTTAAGTAAAGGTACTAATTTAATACAAACTACAAAAAGCAATAAAAATATATTTTTAAATATAATACAATATAAGAATAAATTGTACTTTATTTTTGTACTGTGTACTTTTTTTTCTTACTTATAATCGTCAATGTACTTTAAATACCAAAAAAAAAGGTGGCAACCCTACATATTATATACAAATTAGATACATCTATTCAATGTTTCCTTTTCGTGTTATTTTAGATTGTCAATGTCATTTGAAATGAAAATGTCAAATTCAATGTTCCTCAGTTCCTGTGCTGCCACTAAATCATGATTGAAGCAAGAGACTGACACTTACTACCACAACAGATAGATGTCGTTGCAAACTCTAAGTCTGGTAAACATTCTGTTATAATTATTATTTGTAGTTACAATATTATTGTGCCCGCAACCGACTGAAGGGTTCCGAATAATACTCTTTTATTTTGAGTGGGTCGATTATTTAAATATTCATCTTAAATGTTCAGAAGTTTCAGCGGTATCTGGAAATTCACAGACATTTATCACTCGTCCTGAAAACTAATCATACCTTCAACTAAGAAGTTTTGAATAGCGGTGAAATGAAAGCTCGTAAAATAAAATAACTAAGTAGGTACCTACATGACATAAGCCGGTAAACGAGCAGTTGGATCACCTGATGGTAAGCAATCGGCGTCATCTATGCACACCTGGAACTCCAGAGGCGTTATAAGTGCGTTACCGGCCAGCGTTATTAGGAGTTTGTGGATCGTTAGGGATTCAGGGATTGGTGAGATTGGAGAAGCTCCCATAGGGCGCAATTGGGTCTCCAGTAACCTTGCAAGCGTTGTTTCACGTCGGTTTTCTGTGAGGCCGTGGTATCACTCCGGTCGAGCCGGCCCATTCGTGTCGAAGCATGGCTCGCTCACACTTAGATTATTGAAATTGATACCTAATAATTAGTTTTATGGCTTTTCATATCAAGGGCATGAATTTAGAACATTTATTTATGCCCTTTGACTGACATTTTATGATCATTGCATCCGATACTAAACAATACGAGTATCGATTTACCTATTACGAGTTAATGATGCGTGACCAATGAATCATTCAGCAATGATTATCGATTGTTTGTCTGATCGATCATCGAAGGTGTCACCTTCGTCTCGCTCAATCATTGCTGTTGTTGTATTACAAAATGCGGACAAAGTAATCCACAACAATGTATTGTCTGAGTGGCGATTACTCATCCTGATTAGGTAAGAAAGAGAGCAGGGCGTCATTTATTTATCTACTACTAGTTACTCCTTCGCAGTTTTACCTGATGGTCGGCTCCTATTGGTCGTAATCGTAGCGTAATGTTTTAATGAAGAATAGTGAAGCTCGATTTTTTTTGTTAGTCACAAATAGTTCGCATTTTAAGAGTAGCCATGCCTTAAACTAAATCACATCAATATTTTGTCGTTCTTTGCCATGAAACACAGACAAATAAACAGACACACACACTTAATACTTTTTGAACCAACATTAAAGTGATCGAGGGAGCTAGATAGTTTTCAAGCCACTCGAAAGTGATTAAGAACGCTCAATTATCATTGAGAATACTCGATCGTCTTCGGGGGCGTTTAAAGGCGTGCTTGATCTTCTGATCGAAGACATTCTTAAAATGATCGAACATCCTCGATCACTTTCAGGCGTTACACAATCCACGTATTTATTGTTATTTGCCTATTTTAATGGACAAATATTTCAACGACAATAATATAAACCAACCATTTTTGCTAAGTTAAAACTTGAGCAGCGTCATTGCAATTCTAAACTTTTAAATAGGTAAAACTGCAAACAAAGGAAACTGCAACCTATCTCCATTAAGTTTACTAGGTATTTTAGACTTGAGTTAATGCTACAGCAGCCTGACAAGACAATGCTGACGTGGGTGGTTAATTACGCAAGTGTATTAAGTACATGTTTTCCCGCCAGTTCGTGTTCCTACTTCATTAGCTAGGTTTCCGTGTATTTACGTACGCCATTGTGTCGCGCTGCTCCCGTTTCGATTGCTGTCATAATGTATGGGAGCGCGGAACTGTTACGTATCGACTTTTAGAGATGTGCTTTTGATATCAATCGATTTATCGATGTCTCGAGAAATACACGGAGCACTGGAAACATCAGATGCACGAGATATATCTTTTCAATAAGAATAAACGTAACACGTGGGAGTGTGCATTTATAATTATATTGTTTAGGGGATCATAAGGTTGATTGACAATTTTGGTATCTAGGTAGTACCTGTCATTGGTGAAACATTGTATCTACACATAACTTCTTCTTAAACACGACAGAAAGCTGGATAATCAATCGGTAATAGAAACATTCCCGAAAACCTTGAAATTGACTTAAGTGGCTGTAAATAATTTTTAGCCGAAATGCCTGTCGATATAACCTATACTACTCCTGTAATACCATCCCTAACCTCATTATTTTTTTTGGCTCTATGCGAGGCGAGATGCCACTTGGCGTGGTCTTATAAAAAAATCTTTTGTGCTCTGTGGGAACTCTGAGATTTGCCACCTGTGCAACTCGCATATTTTTGTATTTCGAACAAATTCGTTTTTGGCGTGTCGAATCACGCCTACCTTAAAGTTGTTAAAATGTCGATATATTTTAATTCATGTCGGATAATTTATTTTTATTTATTTGTTTACGTTTCCGTTGTTAATGTGCAATAATAAATAACGTTTATTCACAAATTCGTTTGAGGTCAGTGTCGATGGTTGTATAGTGTGTAGGCAACAACAGTAGGTACCTAATACAAGTATGTATTGCTGTTGTTGCGAAATATGTAGTTAAATATTTTACTAAGTAATAAAGTTTATTTGAATTGCTCTTTTTGGATGCACGTTAGACATCCGTTTGGTGTACCTTGAGCGACCGGCTTCACCGATTGCATTACAGTAGATTGTTATTTTTTTGTACGTTTTGAGATTTGCTGTTTTTCTTTGCCGTAGTTTATAACAAACCATACATAGTTTGTAATGAACGAAGTATGTGTGCAGTCTGTTTACTTGCGAAAGTACTTCAGTACCCACGTACTTAGGTGAAAGGAATAAACAACAAAGAAGTACCTACTGACTTCCTTCCTTCCTCGCATCTTGTCTCAACTTCCGAATTATAATAAAACAATCCTCATCATTCGGCATTACGTACATCCGTAATCAAAAAAATGGCGGGGTGTGGGAATCTCGGGCAGATGCGTGCACGCACTGCATCCATCGCATATGGCTACACAATGCCTCACACGCAGAAGGAATATTTCAGAAGTACCACGAAAGGGTAGGTATCTTCTACATTCTTACTTACTAGGGAGATACTAACACAACAAACTAATATGTAAATGTGAAGACAATTCATTTATTTTAACCAAAAAAAAGTATTAAGTTAAATCCACAGCCCTTTAGTTGACCAATGAATGACACATTCCGTACTCAAATTTCTAGGTATGTGCATAATTTGTAGATAGAAAAACTGAGACAAAATTACCTATGTGATAAATATGACCTTTGTGGCTTTGTTTATTTTTCATATTTCATAATTATTTATCAATATCAATTAAAGCATATTGTTATAATTATCATCAGGGAGATTTTAATTTTTGTTCAAATTGGTCCTTTTGATGTTTCCTTGTTGTAACACAAAAATTTGGTTGATAATATTGATCATCTGTGGTAGTCGCGGACTCTCACGACTTGGCTAGGAGTAGGAAGAAGTTTATTAATTTAATTGGTGTATTTATTATAACAGTGGTAGCAGTGGCGTAGCGTAGCGGGCATTGGCGGGGCCCCGTATAAAATATTGTTTAGGGGCCCCTCTGAAGGGTAAAGCTTTCTCATAACAGATTTTTTTGCATAAAATTCGGAAAATATTCCAGACAACTTCTTCTGCACACATTATCGGAATATGGTTACTTAGTTTTTTTAAAGTTTCTGCCAACTTTTGAACGCAAGCTTTATTTTCGCGGGAAAAAATTGTTTAGTTTGACTTCACTTGTTTGATTACTGAATTAAAACATTGAGAAGTTTTTATTAATTTTTGCTTACGCACGTTTTGGGGCCCCGTATAATTGATGCGGCAGATACGGCGCTAGCTACGCCCCTGAGTGGTAGTGATTAGGTGGAGCGGATCGTTCGGAACATTTTGTGGTGGTAAAACTGTGAGACTATTTTTCCAATGAATTAAATCAACTGCATCATGGAGTACTCTTACTGAGTCATTCGTTTTGTTTGTAAGGTCTATGTGTTGTACTGCATATGTCACAATACTGAATTGATTTTTGACATCAGCGGACAAGAGTCGCGCGCGACAAGACTGCGCAGTACCTGGGGAACTAAAGTGAAGGGGGTTGAAGTCACATTTAGTATTTCAGGCAGTAAAAGGGTTCTAAAACGGAATTTAGTTTT